GATTCGCATGGATTTGTTAGCAAATTTTTTTTTGCTTAAAAAATATATCTTTGTATAAAATTTCGCATTCACAAATATATTTGAATAAGTTGTGATGTTCAATTTTTCGAAATTTTTATAGGCGTCAGTCTTTTCTTTTTAGCTACGCGATGAATGGAAGGAAGCGCTAGCCGAAAATCTCTGAAAATATAAGAAGCTAACCTGTTTATTCAATGTGGCAGCTGTGCGATATCTGCCGTCGAATCTCTTTCCTGTGTTTGACTAAACCTGAAGTTGTTTTAATCAGAGGACAAGAGATTAATGGGTACATTAAAAGTGTTGCTTTATATAACTTATGTCCAGTAAACAGCTACTCAGATAACGAGTAGTCAGATCGTTAGTTGTTTACTGTAATTTGCTTCATCACAAAAGTTGTTTTTCTCAGCTATTTGAATGGGTATTATGTAGAACTCAGTAAATCTAAGAGTATAATGTATATCAAGGATTAAATGGCCTCTAGTTCCAAGAGGCGAACATTCCATTTTTGGTGTCCGCATGTGACACTGTTCGTTGTTGTTATAGATGAGCCTACAAAATCTCCTTCCGAGCACGGTGACTATTCAAGTCATATTCCACTCCTTGTCATTCTTATTTTGGGTCATGCACATGACATTCTCATACTTAAAACTATTTCGTTTCTACTCTTTAGGCTTTCTTAGATTTAGACGACTGAGCGAAAACGCCACTAGTCGAAATATGTTTACGAAGAGTCCAACAGTTTTCTTTCTTTAAATCAAGAATCACGAAATTTTAATTCAGTTTCCAGTGAAGTCATCACCCTAACAGTAACTCTGTCGTGCATTTTTGGAAACTGAAAATAAGGATTGCGACATCTATCTTATGATGTTAAACTTTCAGCGGATGGTAGCTTGAAGCTGGTGTTGCGGGTACCAAAGGAATCCGACGTTGTTTCAGCCTCAGAATCTTCGGATGCCGAACTCGCATCGGAGGAGGAAAGCTGTGAAAAGGTTTCAAATACCGAAGTAAGATACGTTTCATTAAATCCTTTGTTTGTTTATGCGTTTATGAATTAGCTGGAAAATAAAATTGTCTTTTATGTTTCACAGGTTTTTAGGTGAATAACAAGCGTAGTCACAGTTGCCTTCATTGTTTTGAAAATATTGATGAAATGCTAACAACGCTTCTCTAATAAAACATGAAGGTCTGAGTTCGGCATTTTTAGTCTTGCACTTAAGTGGTACAGTTATTCGGAGGAATTATGCTGCCGAAGATTTCCTAAACTGTTGAATGTAGTTTAAATTCTTTATAAATCTTAACTTGTTTTTAGTAAAGTGTTTTGTTGTCTCTTGTTCGTTTCTTTGGTGATCCGTTTCGCGGAAACCTGACAAATAATTTTTTAAGCCAGAGATCCATCTGACTCGTTTCCTGGTGTTTCACAACAAAGCAGATGGGCTTCCGTTATTGAGTACTTTGAGTCTCAGTTGCACCTCTTAATATTTTTAATGCATGTTCATTGACTGGTGACCCGTCTGCTAGTAGTTATGTTTGATCTGAAGGTACGACAACAAGTCTTGCTTTCCAACGAAGAAAATAAGGTTAAGCGTAGATTAAATGGACTAGTAATAGTGTCAGTTCAGAGCAATCCAAAATAAATGCATGATTAGCATTAAAAGCTGTGTATGGTCTACCATTTGCTATGCGTAGGGAATAAATGTAAAGTATCTTTTTAATGTTTTGACAATCAAAAGTATTCGAAAAAGTGAAATTCGAGTGTGTCTGTTGCGAATACGCTGCCGAATAATAACGGGCCTACACTGCGCCTATTTTCCGTTATACACACTCAGTTTAAGGTTCTTGTCATACTTTTAGATTGCCTTTAATTGTGAATGAAAGGTTAGCTAAACGACTTTCCTTCCTTTGTTTCTAACCACGCCCTGTTTTACTAAGATTTTACATTTTGTGACCATTTGTTTGTTGTGCATTATCGGCGTTGCAGGTAAATATTTTTCTAGGACAGTTGCATCGATATTACAAGTGCAGGTTACAGAGAAATTCAATTGGCCAAGAAAACAAAAAAAAAGAAGCGACGATTCCGTCTTACTTTGCCAGGAAAAAACGTCAAGAAGCGTTTCATAAAAGTATGTGTAGTATACCACGCTTCTTAATCTATTCGCTATGCTTTGTATATTGGCGAATTGAAGTTGTTTCTCTTCTTTTGCAAAATAGAAGAGATAGATCAAGACTGGGCACTGTTTTATGCAACCGTTTTATTTAAGTAACTCATCTATTTGAAAATCTCGAATACCTTTATTTATTTTTGTATTTATTCCTTCTTAGAGTTAGCTGTACAAATAAGTTTGTGGCAGAAGGAAGCTATGTCTTGAATCAGCTTCATAACCACCTCGAAAATAACGGAAAATCATCGTACATTTTCGCCCACGATGCATAATCGAGCGTGAGGATGAAGTTCGAGTTGAAAATAAAGAGCTTAGTTTTCATCCTCAGCTCTGCTTTAATCACGACCATTGCGCTAGTGTACGCATAACGCTGCTGTCCATTCCCTTCGCCAGTGAGTCTCCACACTTCTCGTCACCAATTAACATTATCCTGAGGTTCGTGAACTGCACCGCCTGTTTCATGTTTCTGCGTCTGTCTTCTTCCCGACAGAATGGACTTTTGGTTTTAGTTGCATTCACACACATGCCGGCCACGTCGCACTCTGCTGCAAACCGTTCCACAGAGCGATGGAAATAAGTTTCAGAAGATGTTAATAAGAAAAGGTAGTCTGCAGTCAGCAAAATTCTCATCTCGATATCTCATAGGTTGATATACTCGTCGCATTTGTTGCTTCTGGCTGTCCTATCCGCGTACGACAGAAACAGGAGAGTTGACGCAACGTGGCCTTGGCGGAGACCGGCGCCGAAAAGGTCTCTAATTAGCCCCATTTACTCTAATGCAGCACCTCCTTTCAACATATTAAAAAATAGCTAGGTTGCACATGTTTGCATCGATTTCGTACGTTTCCTGTCACACCCATAGCTTTCACCGGACATAGGCTTTCTTCGGGTCCGCAATGCACTTATTAACAGGATAAGCAAATTCCCACGATTTATCACCAATCTGGCTTAAGGCGAAGGTCCGGTAAGAGGTGCTTCGGCCTGACCTTAGGCCACACTGCTCTTCTTGGATCTTAGATTCAACTACTCCATGTCACCTCCTTTCCAACACCTTTGGTTAGACTTTTCTCTTCGAGGCTCAGTAAGTATGGTCTCCATTTTTAAATGTGCTATCACCCTATTTCTCCAATCCACAGGTATCTTCCCCATAGTCATCGTAGTTTGACCGACACGTATTGTCGAAAACACACGTTGTTCGCCTAAACGTTTAAGCATCTCAGGGCATTTTTCATCATTTCCAGCGACCTTGCTATTGTTGCTGCTTTTTGCAGCTGCTGTGACTTCGTTTACTGAGAAACTAATATCCATTGCCTGCGGCTCTTTTGGCGAATCTTCTTGCGGTTGCTCAAAGTGCTTTCTCTGACATTGTGTTATATTGTTTTTCTTAGGGGGTCCAGATTTGTCCTTCAAGACTTAGACTGCCCCTCGTAAGCTGTCAGTGGTCTGCCAGAATACCTTGTTACCGTCTGGGAATTCTACTCCAGCACCTCACCGAATTTTTTTTCCGGGAATCAGCTTTCCCTCTGGCTACTGCTTATCTGCTACCCTGCACTTCTTTGTGTCTCATTAGGGTTTATGCACTTTGTTTCTTAGCTACTTCTTTAATGCTACTTTCTCGTCAATAGCCAGCTGAATGTTCGGCATTCACCATGACGATCGTTTCTGATTCATAGGCGGCAACGGCAGTTCGATACGTTGTAGACTGCAGTGTTTCGCAGCAGGCCTTAGAAAGCCAGTCTTAAGGCGCTTCCACATGAATTTGACGTCATCCGTTATCACGGGTTTGTTCAATTACGGCGCAGTAAGAAATAAATTGACAAGAATAGCTGACTAAACTTTTGCATTTCCTTACTGTAGTGATCCAATAGGCCATGGATCATAATTTGGGTCGAGTTCTTGAAAATGTCGTAAACCGCCTTGAGTATTAAAAGATTGCAGGTGAAGTGCTTAAGACTTGATTCACAAACGTTTTCCTCTCGGCACGTTTCATCCCCCTATTTTCAGGTTGAATGCGATACCGACAATCAAGAAGAAGGTAAGAATAATTATGAAGAACGTGAAGATCCTACCAGTAGAGCCGAGAGTAACATTAAGACCAGTAACGACGCAACTGGTTCCCGGTTGCATATGGGTACTTCTTCGCAATCGTCGATGACTCAGTTCACTCCTTTGCAGCTTTTGCTGGATTACTACCTTCGCGTTTTCGAGAAGTATATGCCATACTTAAATTAGGTTGTAAAGTGCTTACTCTTTTCATAGAAAGGATCCTGAACATTACTTCCTCTACCCTGTTAGCGACAAGGTGGCACCGAAGTATTCAAAGATAATCAAAACTCCTATTGATTTCATTAAAATTCGAAGGAAAATAATTGATAACGAGTATAGAAACCTGTTGGAGTTGAAGGTATAGTGAAATCTAGTTGAGCGATTTTGGCATTCGCATTTTAGAATGACATGGAATTGATTGCCCAAAACGCTTTCACTTATAACCAGCCAAACACTGTGTACAGCATCGCTGCACGGAAACTAATGGGTATCATCGAACACATGTTTAGTAAAGTATGTTTTTTTCAAAGATGCATCTCAAAGCCTTCATTTATGCTGTTATTTCTCTGTAAACTTAGAATATGGGTAGATTATGCGCATTCAGTTGTATTTTATATTAACGAATATAAGGAGCATGTTTAAGTGTTCCATAATTTTTATATTATTGATTTCAGAACTTGATCTTACATATCTTTGTCCTGTTTACACCTTGATAATAAGAAGAGTAGCTTGGTACATAGCTTGATATAAATGTATAGATATCTTTCTTCACTTTTTGATGCACCTGATCAAGTTCATTTATCCATTACTTGATATTTATCTCATTGTTTTCATTAATAATTTTCTTTGCTTTGCCAGTGACAAATTTCCTTAC